GGCCCCTGCCCACTGGTACTTCCCCACTTCTGGCAACCAAAAATGTCTCCAGAAATTGCCAAATATTTCCAGGGGCAACAAAATTTCTCCTCACCCCCACCCCATGGTCCAAGACCAACTCCACAAAGCGTCTGATGACCCTCATCCCAATCCTGACCTAACCTTTTCCCCCTTTATGCCTTCTCACTGAATCTGCTTCAGCAGTAAGTGCTGTGACTGTGTTGGCGACAGCCTGCTGGCAGGCACCCTGACCCTTACGTGCTGCCAGGGCACCTGCGAACAGAGCCTTCTTCTGAGAGTCAATTAGAAATCTTTCCGATTAATTCCAGACTTTCCCTCTTTTGGCTCATCTCCCCTTCAACACCCTGTTTTTTGTTTCGTTCATACACAGGAAGAGGAATACGAATTCGGGACATCCTAAAGGATGAGGAAACACTGACACTGTTTCTTGTGAAGAACATTGGTCTGTCTGACTCGGTTGTCTACCTGCTGGTCAACTCCCAAGTCCGTCCAGAGCAGGTAGGGAGGTGGCGCTGGTCAGTGGTCCCTGAGGGCAGGAGTGGGCACGGAGCTTGAGAAAGCCACGGGAGACCTTGGGTCTTTTCCTTCTTGCTTCCACATTCAGAGTCTGTGACTCATGCCACACTCAGAATAATACCTGGGGTCACTGGCGATGACGAGCTTTCCCATCATAGGATTCTGAAGCGGCGCAAATCCTGGCAACACTTTAAACATCTCAGATTTTTATGACTGGAAGGAACCTTAGAGGTCACGTGGCTTACACTCCGTTTGTAGTTGAGGAAACGGAGGTTGATCCACGTATTCATCAAGTATGTAGTGTGTCCTAGGGGCTAGAGAACGGCAGAACAGTACAGGAAGCCCCTGACTCCGGCAGCTACGTTAGAGCGGGGGCGGCGGGCCATAGTCAGGTTCCAGGGGTTCCGGGCTGCGAGAGGGGCGGTGAGGAACGCCTGGTAAGGTCAGGAGGTGGGGGGAGTTGGGGAGGGAGTAGGGGGCAGTGTTAAATGAGACGCTCAGGAAAGGCTTCCCCGAGGTGGCGGTATTTGAGCAGATCTAGGTGGAGAGAAGGCACCATGAGGGTGCCTGTGAGAGGAGAGTCCTGGCCAAGAAGCAGGCAGAGCCAGGACCAAGTGTGCCACGGTGGCCCTGGGGGTCACAGAGCCTGGTGAGGGCAGCACGTGGAGCCTGATTTCCCGGACCGCTTCTAAGCCGTGCCAGGAAGACTCCTGCCATCCCTGTCAGATCTATTTCGTCTGTTTTCATAATCTCCTGCGTTTATTCAGACCACTTTTACCACTAGCGTGTGACTTCACACCTGTCAGTGCCTGTGTTCCTCTCGTTCATCTGAGATGGGTCAGAGAGACGGGGACGTGCAGGGCCCGAGGCTGAGTGCCTGCGCACAGCAGAGCCAGAGCTGTCCCAGGCCGTGCGGAGTCCAGGCCCTCTCGTTCCTAACGCAGTGCGTGTCACTCTCTCCCTCCGCGGTTCTCAGAGTCTGATGGCAGTTACATCAGCGAGGTCAGGAGCTTGTCAGGAATGCACATTCTCGGGCCCCACCCCAGACCACCAGCAATCTCTGTTTTCACAAGCCCTCCAGATGGTTCTGACAGTTCAGGGGTGAGGCCCACTGCTCCCGTCTGGGTCTCACGGGCTCCTGGGCCAGTATGCTGGGGGTGTGGGTTCCTGTGTGATAAACACAGTGAGAATGAGCGAGAGGCAGGGGCTGAAGCACACACGCTCCTCTCACCTCTCCTGGCTGGGCCTGCACCTCCTCCAGACTCCAGGGGAGAGCCAGGCGTCACAGAGGTTTTCAGGGCCAGTGCAGTCCCCACGCAAGGTCTGAGTCCAGAGGAGGGAGAGGACCCACTTGCCTGGTTAAGGCTGGCTTCATCGAAGGGGATTTTCAAGCTGGCTTCCTGTGCAACAGTGGGAAAGCACATACCTACTTTTCTGGCTTCTCAGAACCTGAGGTTTTCACCGAAACTAGTTGATGGGAACTGAGGGTCAGCCCTGAGACAGTGTGTCAGGACCCTAGTGTCAGCGGTGCCCAGGCTTGGCGGCCACGCGATCCTGGCGAGGCCCTTGGGGTCCGGCCTGGCCTCCTGGCCCCGCCCGGCTTCCCCTCCCTCTCCCCGCCCAGGGGTGGGCAGCATCCTCTGCTCACTCTCCCCTCTGATTTCTCTTCAGCTCATAAGACTCAAGCCCTGGAAATGCCTGTGATGACTTCCAGGCAGTAATGAAAGGGAGCTGGAGATAAGAGCAGGAATTGAGGGGAAGCTTCTCTGCGGCTCCTCACCTGCGTGACACTGGGGTCTCCGCTTGCGGTGCTGCTGGCATCCGGGCTGAGGCCCTTCATGTGGGGAGGTGGGGCCACAGCCATTGGACGGGGGGCTTTATTTAGTGTTCGGACTGGCTGAACCTTCCCTGATCAACAAAACCCAGAGCTCAAGAAGGAGCAGCTTGCTGAGGCCAGTCTCGTGGACCCAGCCTCCCTGCTGCCTCCATGCCCACCGGCTTCTCAGCCCACTGGTCTTGTGTGCCTTCCTCCTGACCTCTGTCATGGCCTCCGTCCAGCTCTGTGACTCCCTGACAGCGCAGTCGGCTAGAACTTTCCTCCATGACGGCAGTGTTCCCTCTGTGCTATTTATAGTGGCTGGTGGGCTCTCGAGATGAGGCTAGTGCACCTGAGAAACTGAATTTTAAATGTTATTTAATTTTAATTACTTTAAATTTAAACAGTCACATGTGGCTTGCAGCTCTCTGATTGATTACCCTCATTAAACATGGAATTTTGTTCTTTACCAGGAGGACTGGATATTCCGCCTTTCTGCCTGCTGTCTGAGCACAGCTCCAAAGGGAACAGCAGCACCCCCTCTCCCCATCTAGGGCGTCACTAGACTGTTACAGTTCTCTGGCTCATCCCTCACCCCGCCCCACCCCCCGCCTGGAAACTCCTGGACTTTCCTGAAGGCCCAGCTCCAATGTTGCCTCCTCAGTGAAATGGTGTACAAACTCCCTTTTCTTTGTCCTGCCCCCCACCCTCCCCTGCTCAGTAGAAAGCTAGCAGGTAATGGTTAAGCACAAGCTCGGCTTCAGAGCTCAGCAAGTTAACGGTGTGCCCTCAGGCAAGTTAATCAACCACTTTGTGCCTCTGTTTCCTCATTTGTAAGATGGAGATAATAAAAGTAGCCTACTACATAGGGCGACTGTGGGGGTTAAAAGAATTAATATCCATAAAGCACTTAGAATAGTGCCTGGCACATAATAAACACTCAGTAAGCACCAGCTATCTTTCACTAGCAGTTCTTAACACTCCCTCTTCTGTGCTCTGGTTTCACTGCATTCAATCTGGGACCTACTGCTTTGAAATGCCTGCATCTCCAGCTAGCTGGGGAGCTTTTGGAGGTCAGAAAATTCATCTTATTCCCTGTGTATCCCTGTGTAACTACCCTCCTCCCTGCAGAGCGAGAGCTCAGTGAGCGAGCAGTGAATGGCTGAGTGACACCTTCCTGGTGTCCCAGCTTCCCCCCAGCCTGTCGTGTGGCCTTCCCCAGTCACCGAGCCCCCCTCCGGCACTCCTCTCCTCCGGAATCTTAGAGCCTTGGGCAAAACGAGCTCCTTAATCCCCTCCACCTCAGATGTTCTAGACTCTGGGGTTAGAGCTGGGGTGAGGCTTTGCCCAGAGGTGAGAAGTGAGGTGCGAGCAAAGCAGGAGGGCTCAGTTGGAACAGACGCCCAGCTGCAGGTCCGTGAGACTGAAGGCGGCCGCCCCAGCTCAGCACCAGCTGCGACCTGGACTTCATTCAGGGGCTGGGCTGCCGGGCGGGGCCTGACAGATTCCAGAAGGAGGGCAGCAGAGGCCGGGCCTCCGCCCCCCTCCCCCGAGGGGGTCACAGAGGCCCGCGAAGCTCTGGAGCCCGTCCTGCTCACGCCACTCAGGGTCTTGTCCACAGACTGGGGGCCAGGAGGCCAGGGGGCCAGGAGGCCAGTCGCCGTCGTGGGCGTCGTGCTTCACAGGTCGCTGCCCCCGCGCTCCTTGGCAGCTGTGGTGCGGGCTCTCCCGGGGTCGGCGCCCGGTTAAATCTGAACCTCAGGGAAGCAGCGAGTGCTTTCTCAGCGTACGCGTGTCCCGCTTGGGCTCCACTTGGGACATGAATGCACTAAAAGCTGGTCATCGATTATCTAAAATTCAAATTTACCTGGGCATCCAGTGTTTTTATTTGCTAAATCCGATGAGAAAGGAGGGGTGGGGGTGGTCATTTGCCATCATTTCAAATCCATTCTGTCCACCCCTCACCTCCGCTCCAGGGAGGAGGTCCCGGCGGTATCTCGGCATTGTGTGTTGAGAAGGGATGGCTCAAATTGTGAAGTCCCTCTAATGAAATGAGGCTTAGGAGTGTGTTTGCTTTCTATGGCTGCTGTAGCAAATTACCACACACCCAGTGGCTTCAGACAACACAGATTTATTATTTTGTGGTTCTAGAGGTCAGAATCTGAAAGTCAAAGTGCCAGCAGGGCTGTGCTCCTCACTGAGGGGTCAAGAGGAAAATCCATAGTGTTGCCTTTTCTAGCTTCTAGCTGGAGACTGTCTGCATTCCTGGCCGGTGGCCTCCTTTCATCTTCAAGGTCACCAGTGCCTGTCCAGTCTTCCCCACGTCCGACTACCCTGACATTGTGTCTTCTGCCTCCCTCTTCCACATCGGAAGGACCCTTGTGATTACATTGGGCTCACCTAATTATCCAAAATAATCTCTTTGTCTTATTTTATTTTCTTTAAATTTTTTTTTTTGCAGGGGGAGGTAATGAGGTTTACTTGTTTATTTACTTTCAGAGGCAGTACTGGGGACTGAACCCAGGACCTCGTGCATGCTAAGCATGCTCTCTGCCACTTGAACTATGTACCCTCCCCCCTCAATAGTCTCTTTGTCTGCAAGTCAGCTGACTAGCAATCTTCGTTCCCTCCCCGTGCCGCACAGCGTGTTCACGGGTTCCGTGGGTGAGGACATGAACGGCTCCGCAGGGCCGCCGCTCCCTGACCGCGGGCAGGTTTCCAACGTTGTTTCTCCTCCCTGCAGTTTGCGTACGGAGTCCCAGACCTGGTGCTGAAGGACATCGCCTGCAGCGAGGCCCTGCTGGAGCGCTTCCTCATCTTCCCCCAGCGCCGAGGCGGGCAGATGGCGCGCGGGGCCCTGTGCTCCCTCTCCCAGGGCACCCTGCAGTGGATGGAGGACACGCTGTATGCCAACGTGGACTTCTTCAAGCTCTTCCATGTGGTAAGGGAGACACTCGGCTGCTCGCCCCTCAGGAGGTACTTCCTGGTGCAGCGGGGCCTGGCGGCAGGCGTTCGGAGACTCACGAATTGACGGGTGGGGTGCACATGAGCCTGATGCTCAGGACAATCCTTGTTCATGACCAGACAGGCCCCAAAGGCCCAAGAATCAGCTGATAGCACTTCTGACCAGTGGCCCTGGCATCCAGGAGTCACCCTTGGGGTCACCATTAGACACGTGCTTGTCACAGGTCTAGGGCCACCCCAAGTGTGGGACAAGCCCTCTCCACCACCTCTGGCAGCTTGGAAAGGAGAAGGAGGCCTCATGTGACCCCTGGTTTGACGTCCTAGCTAGGGGATCATGGACAAGATGGTTAACATTTCCTTGCCCCATCGCTCACCTATAAAACAAATACAATGCTCTATAGAGTGGCAGAAAAGATACATAAAAAATGTATGCAAAGCATTTAATAAATTTCAGTGGATGAGAACTTCCTGCTCGCTCCTGTGGGTCTGCTCTTGACTCCAACGCTCGCTGTTTCTGGATAGAAAGAAAATAACAGAAAATTTCTAAAAATTTGAAAAGCCTGATCTAGCTCAGTGCTGTGTTCAGAACTGCATCAGACAGGCTTCTTGGGACCCACTCATAGCTCCTGTTTCGCTAGAAGGCTAAGCTGAGGGGGAATTATATAAAGGTCGTGTAGAGCAGTGGTTCTTGCACGTTAGAGAGCATGAAAACCATGAGGGAGGCTGGCTACAGAAGCGAGTTCCAAATCCCCGCCCCCAGAGGCTGCGCCAGGATCTGCCCTGATACCTTAGGTGAATGTGATGGAGGTCGTTGCAGGCCACGCTTTAAGAAAAACTCAAAATTAGAATCCTTCAGAGAAGTGACATACATGAATTGTGTTTTCTTTTCTGCCTGCATTTTAATTTCTGGAACTGTGTTGCAGGGAGTGTCACTCACGAGAACTTGGTTGAGGAATTCGTGTTTTGCCTTTTTTATGTTTGCTTTCTGAAACCCCAGAAAACCCACTCCCAGCTTGTCTTAAAAAGCAAGCTGGAGGCTTTTAGAAGCAAAGTAGAACAAGACCCTGTAGCTTCTGGCAGAGTTCACACTTCGTGCACTTCAACGAGTGACTGTTCCTTGGAATGTTACTCCATGATTTTTCCAGCTTTTTGGGGGGGGTGCCTCCAGAGTGGGTGGGAGGGGTCGGACCTCTGGACACCACCACCACTGGGAGCTAAAGGCCCCAGAAAAGTTTTCTACAGGGAAAATAAAAAGCCTTATCGTTCAAACGTCTCTGTCCAAAGTTCCAAGGAGGAACTGGATCTTAGATAAACATCTTAGCTTGTTTTCAGAATCAGCCAGGAGGGTGTGTAGGTGATAAGGAGCCTTATTCTGGGCAGCTGGACCCCCGCACAGCTGGGCAATCGGTACCTTTGTTTGTAGAGTTGCCGGAGGCTCCCTGGGTACCTGGGCTAGCCCTCTGGTCAGTAGAAAAGGGGCAGGGTCATATACCTCTTTTTGAAGCACCTTGGCCCCTGGTGCAGTAAATGTGCCTTTGAGGTTCGCCCAGCAACTCTGGGAGGATGGCTTGGATGTAGCAGGAGAAAGGGGGTTCTGGGCAACCCTTTTTGTCCGGGACTGGACCCAAAACTCAGGACACTGGCTTCGGAATGTTTACTTATCAGACAAGAAAGACCAGAATGTCTTTCTTTCTGCCCTTACACGCTGCTCAGGCAAGTGTCAGGGTTCAGAAGCCAGAGGAGAATTTTGGCCAGTCACCCTCACTGACCCGAGATGGGTCCTACACGCTTGCTCACCACCCGTACCTACATGTCCGTGCACTCCAGCCTGCACTGGGCTGGGCACTGTGCTGAGGCCGAGGGTCCAGCAATGGCCTTCCCGCCCTCACTGAACTCCCAGTTACCCCGAGACAAGCAAGCAGGCCACGTCACAGCACTGAGGCTTAGCAATACCAACATCAGCAACATTTGGCCCCTGGAGTGGTGGTTCCCAGCCTGGCTCCACACGGAGTCAGCTGGGCAGCCTTTAAAAGCTACAAGTGCCCTGGCCCCCTAGGCACTCCTCTGCCCCCCAGATTCTGATTTGGGTGCCTTTAGCGTTTTTAAAGTCTTCCCACATCGTTGTAATGTCCCGCCGGGGAATCGCAGACCTACAGCATAGGAGTTTGATTCACAGTCTCGGTTGCTGTGGACCAAGCACAGTAACAACGGTGCCCAAATGCCCCCAAGGCTGCAAAGCACCCCATGCGATCACCCCCACGGCCAGATGCTTCCTGCTTGCTGTCCTCGCAGCAAAGCTGGGGAGTGACCCAGAGGCTGCCCGGAGGGCAGAGGGCAGAGCCCTGGCAGGAGGCAGGCTCACCTGGGAGATGTGTGGCCTGGCCTGCCCACCTTCCTGCTTGTCTCTATGGGGAAAGACCTGACCAAGACAGGGCGCATGGGCCCCAAGCAAGAGGACAAACACCCTGTCTGATGCCCTTGAGATGTGCTTTTCCATATGACAAATGGACTGAGTGGCTAAACATTTAAAAAAAAAAGTTCCTAAGAAGGAAACCTAAAAGGAATTGCAGAGAGTAAGATGGGACTCCTGCGTTTATTACTCCTGTACCCATCCTGTCAGTGCTTTTAGGAAAGCAACCCTGAGGCAGGCACAGAAAAGCCCAGGGCAGAGCCTCCGACCTTGTCCGAGGGTCACAGCTGGGCGGGGGCCGCTCCTGGCCGAGGCGGCTGTTGCAGCTGGCTGGCGGGCAGCCATGCTTAGGTCCCGTGCAGGGAAGTCTGCGCCTTCTGTTTTCCTGGGCTGTTTCTCATGTGCACGTACACTGGTGTGTAAATAAGGCTTTAGTAAATATCAAGTTGGTGCTCATTAACAAAGACAGGAGGGCCATCTCTGTAAACCACTGTGACAGCACCTGCCCTGTTGTGTCAGGACCCGGGCGTGCTGGGTGGAAGTGTAACCTCCAGACCAGGACCGGGAGCCGAGGGACGTGAGGAGGGGGATTGGAGACAGCGCCAGCTGGGGCCAGCTGTGTTTTCCCTCGGCCCCCTTAGAGATCCGAAATGAGTGTTGTCATGCTCAAATAATCCAAATGCAGTACCCACGCCTTACTCCACCCACCCACCCCCATATGTACGTTCTTGCCTGCACGCTCACACACACACACGCTGGGTGCCCAGTGACCTAGGTGGTCTGGGAACAAAACAAGCAGCCAGTTGGCTGGATTTTCTCCAAGGACTTTCAGCCCTTCTCGGTTTCACCTGGGTTGAGACAGTTTGAAAGAGCTTGTCTTCACCTGTGGCCTTTTTGGGCTTAACGCCCCCAACTTGAAACCCAGCTGCTCAGACCTGGGCTCAGGGTACCGTGATTGCCAACACTACCTGAAACGTTTCACACCTCATAAAAAATGGTGTGTCAGTTTCGGGTGAGAGGTTGGGCTGTTTCCCATCTGATTTGGCCCAAGGCATGTGTCCCTCCCCCTCCTCCTCCTCCCTCTGCGATCCTTCCTGTTTTCCCTCCGACCCTGGAGCACAGCTTTGAAATCTTGCTGAGAAGCAAATCTGTCCCTCCAGCTCTGTATGTTTATTTGTGGAGTTTCAGCAGGGGAACGGAGGCGGGTGCCAAGACCTGCCACACTGCTGGGAAATCTGCGTTTCCCTCCCCGCCCCCTTCCCAATGGCTGCTGATAGAGGAAATTGGCCTCCCCGGCATTTTGGCCCATGGTTTTCCCCTTTGCAGTCGCTTCCAGTGTGACTTGCGTGATTCAGCTCTCCTTCCTTTTCCTCATCTAGTATTCTGTCACGGTTTTTACTTTTCTGACTTCGTTTTGCCCTTGCCTTTGTGACTATGGGGTGGCTGAACACTGAGTTCCGCAGAAGAAAGGCCGGTCCCGGAGGTGCTAACTGCATGCTCTTTTCAATGTCCTGCTTTGTTCTTGGCTCTGCTCCCTGAATTCCTGAATCATTGGGAATAAATGTGGGTGGACTGCCCCTGCCCAGTGCGAGCTGGCCATGGTTTCTGCTCTCTGGGATCATTCGCTGCAGTTTGTTAAATTTCAGCTATGCATTTCAGTTTTCAGGTGACACTGCTGTGTCAAAATTCTCTGGAAAAGCCCCCTGTCGCCAGGGTTTTACAACAAGGTCCCATTAGTGACCCAATGTCATGGTTTCCTCTCCCCTCTGATTTCTGAATCTTTGGGCTGTCAACTTCCTCCCATTCTGGGGAGCGAAGAAGAGAAAGAAGAGGTGCCCAGTGCCAGCAGCATGGAGGGAGGCGCAGAGCGGCCGCTGAGCAAAAATGAAACCAAGCCAGAAGATAGGGTTTTTTGGTTTTTTGGAAGTTATTAAGCCACAACAAGAATTGTTGATTTACAGCGTTAGTTTTATTCTTCCTACATCTACACAACTGTGTGTCTATTACAACTCACAATTTTGGTGAACTGATTTTGAAAAGAAGAAACAAAAGGAAACAGAAGAGAGAACATTAATGTGCACTAACGTACTCTAGGCCTGTGGGCGTGACTGCCGCTGGCCTGCCTTTGCTTCCTTTAGTCTCCAGGCATGAGGACCCAGGGCTTATTTTCATGACTGATCAGATGGTTTTTTATGAATTTAAGAGGAACAGACACTGAAAGGTCAAAACCAAAGTCGCTTAGGACACAAACAAGCTGCTACGAAGGCCGCTCTGAGGATGACGGGTCCCAGGTCTGGTCTCTGTTCAGCAGAAGCAGACTGAGCGCCAGCGTGCTGGCATCAGGCTTTCTCTCAGGAAAACTGGTTTAAAGAAGGATTTTGGCCTCCGACACTTCTTATCTCTACAGAACAGTAGTTCTTAATCTTTGCATGGGTTAGGACTGCCTTTGAGAATCTGACAACAGCTCTAAACCTTTTCCCCAGAGAAATGTAAGTTCACACAGACACATGGGTGGGGCAGCGGGGAAGTTTGAGGAGCCTTTGAAGTCAGATCCCAGGCTAAGAGAG